ATGGCGAACATCATGAACATGTAATGATCTTTTAATGATTTTTTTACACATAAGAAAAATTTCCCCAAATCAAAAAGGGCACCTTTGCGCCCTTGCCCCCTCGGGAGGGGGTGGGGGGTTGGGGAGCAATGAACACTCTACCTTAATTGTTTCAATGCATTTTCTTAATAGTAGAGCAAAACATTAAGTTTTACGCTACAGTTTATATACTAGTAAAAACCGTCACAACTAAGTACTACGAAACACCATAGACAATCCAAAAGACAAGATCTGCCGCTGGCCGCATCACGGATGGTGTGCGTAAAACATTGGGCGTTTCCAGTCCCTGTCTTTTGGATTGACTATGGAAAAACCCCGCGACTGCAAATTGCTGATCAGTGGAGAACTGATAGTATAGACAATGGTGTCCACGAGAAACAGGATTGTCCCGATGAAACCAAACACCTAGAAGAGACAAAAACCTGATTGGTTTGATAATGATTTTGAAGTAAAATCGAAATATCAAAATATGATGGTTTGGAAACTAAACAGTACGAGTTTTGTACGAGTTTATGTTAATTTGTGCACGATTACAATGATTATATTGAGCTCAGTGTATTTTCCAGTATTTATATTGAGCTCAGTGTATTTTCCACCTTTGAACTTACTATACGAGTAAATTGTTAAACACGTCTGAATTTATCAATACAATAGCTTCGCGACACATGTTAAGCCCTAACCCCAACCCGAACCCCTAATCTTAATCTAACCCTAATCTAATCTTTATTTGACACTGATGCATGAATTTGCTAAAAAAAACAAACAGGGGTACCGGGCAACAGAATTCCGTTGCCCAAACAGTTCACGGGGGGGGGGGGGTACAGGGGTGGCAGGTTGCCTTTTCCCAAGATCTACACTACGTTATTCATATGAATTGAAATTGAAAACTGTTTTCAAGCAATTTATTTCAAATTTTTAAATGTGATGTTCTTCTTAAAACCGTCTAAAAAGTTAAATAATTGACAAGCTGTCATACTGTTTTGTACACAATGCATTTAAGTTATGCACGTCATGAAACGAATAAAATTGTTCCAATCAATTGAAATTTGTCCAACTGTATTGGCTACAAGTAATTGAGTATCCGTACGGCGAAATTTTAACAAACATTGCTGCTCACAAAAATTTAGGGCTCAGTAGTGTGTGCCCTTTTTAAATGGCTGCCCGCTGCTTCACGTTGCTTCCGGTGTTCCTGGAAACAGATTCTATCTGAGTTAAGCTAGTTTTCCACTTCAAGCGTACCGTACAGAAACGTATCAAAAACATTTTTAAAGTGGAGGTCAAGTCCGTAATGTAAACAAACGGTTTGTTTACATTTTGAACTGCTGTATTTTTTAAAATGTGATGTACTGTCTGAATATCTAACACCATTTCGGTTCGCTATGCTTTTAAATGAATATGAAATAAAGTTTATGTTCAGAAAAACTCGAAACATTCGAAATTTGGGCAATGTTAACATTGTGTTAACATTAGAGGGTCCTCACATTGTTATGAGCAGAACCGATGCGCAGAACGGACTTGACTTCCACTTTAAATTTCAAAATTTAGTGAATGTTGATTGGTTAACACTGTCGTAGTACGCCAAAAAGTTGACTTGCGACGAACTTTTATATTGATACGCGAATACATCCGGAAGTAACACCGCGGAAAAACGTCTGCGCATGCGTCAACCTTACCTGTAATAGTATTGCGAACTTGATGAGAAGCTGTTCCGAACGTTTCCGAAGACTCAAAATGGCGGTAAAAAGGAGTGACTTCATTGTGCGTCTTTACAGCCAGATTTCGAGCGCAAAAATAAACATGTCATTCTAAAAACTAGGAATAAATACAGCCAGAAGGTTCAAGAAATTGTATTGTACAAGAACATGAACTAAAGGTAATTGTCGACAAATTTATCGTCTGAAACATTTTGTCTATCAACTAAGCAACGACAATTTCCGAATTTTCGTTTGAGATACATTTCTTTGAAAAAAACTGTGTCGCCAAATATAAAAAAATTTCGTGTTCACAATAATTAAACTTAGTACAATTAGTACAATTTGAGTGAGTTAAGAAGCTTAACTTTTCGAGAGTTTTCTTAACTTTTTAGTTTGAATTTTTGTTTTGAATAATTTAGTCATTTAAATAAGTCGTGTCCGTTAAAATCAACAATTTTTTACATGAATTATAACATAACATAACATTTATTAATTTATATCGCGCAAATTCAACAATGCAGTTTTCATATTTCCTTCCATACTTTAAATGCCAGGACGCTTTCAATTAATGTCTAGTCTACCCATTTGCTATATTTTCTCGTTTATCTTACTAATTTTTGACCAATTAATAAGCATGTTTTTGTTTTAGAAATTGATATTAAAACGCCCGCCATATTTTCATAATTTGGTGCATGCGCAGACGTTTTTCCGCGGTGTTTCCGGAAGTACATGGATTTAGCTCTTTTCAATATACGCATCACGCATGCTCACCAGCACGTTTCGGTACGATACGGTTGAAGTGGAAAACTGGCTTCAGCGTCATCGATTTTCTATTTTGCGTATCTATACTGAGCTTTAGTAAACTGGACGGTCTATTTTTGCCAGATATTAAGATGAAAAATTAATACCGCCAACTCGGAACAACGAAAATTCCATTTGCAAATAATTTATTTAATTTACCACTCCGGAGATTAGATGCTTGCATGTGTGGTCTTGATTTGTCTCATGAAATATGTCACAGTTGGATTTCTTCATGCCAAAGCCACCAGAATAGTCCACTTTTTTCTCATTTGAAGCCAGGACTTTAGCAAGCAGAGCTGATGAAACCAGCAACTGCAGTGTCCAAATTGCATGTACGACAACCATCTAAAAAAATATTTAGAGCTGCTTCCAATTAATCGATTAAAGGTGATGTAAAGTCCGTAATGTAAACAAACGCTTTGTTTACATTATTATTATTATTATTATTATTATTATTATTATTATTATCATTATTATTATTATTATTATTTTAAGGATACTCATTATTAATATATAAATATTAAGTAGGTTCAAGTAGCCAATTATAAATTACCTAAATTAGTGAGATTTATAATTGTATATATACGTATATAATTTCAATAAAGTTTCCATTATTATTATTATTATTATTATTATTATTATTATTATTATTATTATTATTATTATTATTATTATTATTTAAACATATTTATCCACGGTAGCCTTTCAGTTGCCTGTTTTTCAAAGGGCCGTGGTCTAAAACTATTAAAAAGATATAAAACGAAATCTAAACCTAAAGTATAACACACTAACATTAATTCAAATTGAAGTATAACATGCATAACGACCTTACAATGCAAATAAACATTCGATAAAATTTCGGGAAAATTTCGCTATCTTAGCAATTTTTATAAGTGCTACAGTTGTAAATAACTATTACTAACAACTGTTATTACAACTCAGTGCTACAGTTGTAAAATATGATTAGATATACATCAGTATTATACTGAATTGCTTGTAAATTAATACAGACTAGAAATTCGGCCAATGGTCGGGTCCCGATCATTGGAATGTAGGCCTGCGCAGAACGTATGCGCAGAACGGACTTTACATCACCTTTAATCGATTATTTTTCCACAGTCGATTATGCTTAACAGTAATCGAATCATCTAAAACACCACGCATCGTGATGCGCGAATGAGTTAATTTCTTTCCGGATTAAAAAAATTGCGACAAGATTGTGATTGAAACATTAAATGACAAATTGATTCAAAACATTGTGGGTCAAATATCAATGTCACTAGCTCGTGCGTGCAAAGTTTACCATAGTCTGATCGGGTTACCAGTGCAGCGAAAATATCTTTAAAGTTTTAAAATTTATTACCATTTGCGTCCAACATTGCTACGTGCGGACATAAACCAATTATCCATAAGAGTCTGGGTCTCGCAAATTTAGTAAAGTTTAATTACATTTTACAAACCTGTCAAACCACCATGAGCATGTCATATTTAAATTAATTATCAATACGATTAATCGATTGTTGACAACGATTAATCGATTACGAAAATTAACCGATGGGAGCGGCTCTAATAATATTAGGTATGATGTAAATTTCTGATCAATATTTTTCAGGCGTTAGGGACCGGTCATTATTTATCGCGGGGGGTGGCACCGAAGAGAAATGTTTTCTGTGTCAAAAAATTTGCTGACCCAACCATTAAAAAGACAAAATTTTGATTACCCAACCTCAAATATCAATTAAAAAAGAACTACCCACCCCTGGCCAAAAACTTAACAAAAGGATACCATTCAGTTGTCACACATGTCCTTTACCATGCACTTCAGTGACATGAGTTTGATAACGGCGTGTGAAATTTTCTGCAGTCTAAAGTTTCATGTTGTCTGCACATGTACTTTCTTTGGAAATACAATTTGTTTTGTCAAAATGATCAAGATAGTGACTCTGATTGATTGATTTACATATATATTGTATTGACAAATGACTGTTGACATTGCTTTTCAGTCTCCAATATTTCAGTGGGTCATGCTTTGGAAATGACAATAATTTTTTATTACCCAACCCTTGAGTTGTTTTGTTTTTCATTTACCCAACCTTTTACTTACTCAAAATTTTGTTTACCCAACCTTTTTCTCTTCGGTGCCACCCCCCGCCATAAATAATGACCGGTCCCTTACTGTGTTTCGTGTGATTCCTTCCATTGTTTACTAGAAATTTCTTTCTATGATTACATGTCGAAACTATTTTATTCATTTTGAAATTAATGTTTACAGCAACTTACAGCGAATATTGCGCCCTGTTTTTCCAGCAGTCCAGTGAATGATGCCACAAGCGAAAGAATTGCTATAATCACTCCAACAGAGGTGGTGTACAAGAAATTCTCGTGTCTTTCGTACACACCGAAATCAAAAGGATCTAGTAAGCTGTCCCCCAATGCTTCTTTTATGAAATCATGGTGTTCTTTTACAAAGTAACCCACGGTACCAGTTGCTACCACAAGTACAATCTGGAAAAGTGATGTAAACTCGGAAGTAAAGACCCTGGCTTCCGAGGTTGAATATGCGGAAATTGCTACCATTTTCGGCCCAAATGTGGTAGCAATTTCCGAACGCAATACAAAAGTATACAAAATTTGCGAACTTTGCAAGCCGGCTATATAACCTATATTTTCCGCATTTTACAACATTTTGCAACCAAAAACGGCCGGCCAAGCTTGCGAAAAACGCTTCAAAAAAATTCCGATGGCAATTTCATGTTAGAAGCTGGTAACAAGCATGACTGAATAGCTTAGACTTTAGTGAACACGAATCTGCTTGTTACCAAGCTTGATTTTTAGTTTAAACGGAAAAAATCGAGGTTTTTCTACCCCATCTACGAACGGCGAAGCGGGTTTTTCACACATCTAATTTAGATATGCGAGAAGCACGTTTTTCCCCATAAGCTACTCTAATTGGTTGCTGGAAAATGTATGAGCCAATCAGAGAGCAACCGAATCATATCCTCTTTGACAATCAACAAGGAAGGACTTTATATATTGTGTTGAAAGAGATTTAATCAAGTGTAAACAGAGTTATTCGAGCATAAACGGACAAGAAAATGAAATTGGAGAAAAGAAGAGTCAAGGGAAACCAAGTATGTGTAATATTTTATTTAAATATTGAAAAAATTAAACAAAAAAGTCATTTTATCAGCCTTTCTTCGCACTGTTGTTTTTGTTTTTAACACGAGTAATTTCTACTTTTATATAGTTAGTTCAGTTAAGTTTGTTGTTTAGTTTAAAGCTTTAAAACTAGTTTGGGTATAGTTTTATTTACTTTTTGAGATTTTATGAGCATTGATTCGCGCTGTTGTTCTTGTATTTTATTTATTTTTACGAGTTATTTCTAGTTTAGTTTGTTTATACTTACGTTATAGTTTTTTAGATAATTTAAGCTTTAAAACTGGTTTGGTATAATTTTATTTAATACTTCAAGTCAATGACATTATGACAACATGATATAAAGTTTGTTTATACTTACGTTAGTTTTTTAGATAATTTAAGCTTTAAAACTGCATGGTTTGGTATAATTTTATTTGATAATGCAAGTCATTGATTGACAACATGAATCCTTCATCGTCAAAACGTGAGGGCGACTTGCTTCCAGTAGCTACTTGAAAAACAAAATGCCAGCCAGGATATCGATACTTCTACATTTTGTCTATTCTGTGATTATATGACATGATTTTGCATGCTTGTGATGCGGTTTCCAAGGGTTTTAACAGGGTTTAGTACGCTGTATAGGGATACAGATATTTTGTTGCTTTTAGTTTTACAGGTAAACTACGTGAAGCGTTCCTCTTTTGACTTCGTAACTCATTTGGAATTTTCCTCATTAGCTTTGCAAATTTGAAAAACTCTTTGCAAATCCCTTGAGGGAATTTTTTTTCCAAACTTCATTTTAAATTTTCCTAACTTCCTGTTTTAATTTCCTAACTTCATGTTCTGTTCTGAGCGTTGTTATTGGTCGATTATTTTTGTTAGCCAATTGCAACGCCCAGAACAGAACAGGAAGTTAGGAACTTGTAACAGGAAGTTAAGAACTTCTAACAGGAACTGAGGAAAATTTAATTGGCTTTTAGCAACATTGCAAATTTCCTCAAGCGATTTGCAAGGGAGTTTTTTAAATTGCAAAAGTAATGAGGAAAATTGCAATCAATTTAGAAACTCAAAAGAGGAACGCTTTACGTAGTTTACCTGTAATACGCAAAACAACGAAAACGCTATTCCGTTCATGAAATTACTGAACGCCTATCAGCCCATTATTGATAATATTTTAGGATTTCACGCTATAACAGGGTCAGTGTGATACGACCTCATGTTTTACTAAAAAATTGTAAAGCGAAACGTTTATTAAAAAATTGTAAAAAAATTTGTAAAAATTTTGTAAAAAATATTGTAAAGTGGTTTGGAAAGCAAAAATGTTGGAAAGTTTTTGAGCAATCCATATTTTATTCAAAATCTTGGCAGAGTAAGTTCGCAAAACGACACTGAAGAGTTTGTTTGTCGGTTATATTGGGCACCGAATATAGAAGCTGGAGTAAATAAATGTAGAACAACAAATCCGTCCATACCGTCTTCATGTAAAATTTGATATCTTATAATTGTGGTTGCACTAAAAAATGCCATACGGGCTTCAGCCGTATATATCGCACATGCAATTTCCAGTGAGAGAATGGTCTATTTGTTGCATGGCAACATGGAAAAAGAACTTTGTAGATTTCAATATATTTCAACATCATAACAAAGCGGGTTTACTTGCGGTCAGAAATGCTTCAATTTTAGCACTTAAACTGCGAATTAAGCCTGGTAACACCCCAAACCATTATAAGTATGCATATTCCCATGTGTTTAGCGATGTTACTTGCTTTTAAAAGAATTGCCATCGAACTTCATTTTTTGCAAGCTTGGCCGGCCGTCGGGAATTGTCTATAAATTGTTACTTGTTGAAAAGAAAATGGTATCTGAGCTATGGAAAATACTACCGTTGCAAATATTCTGAATATTAATATTACAGAAACTTTCTATGTAGTGGTTGGAGAATTTACTATAACTGTTCACTCCGGAAAAACAGAATACATGTTCTTGGGGTGTTCCCGAGGTTTATTGGGCCGTTGCAACAAATCAAACTTGAAGACTCGAATATTGAACTGGTTAACACGAAAATATGTCTTGGTTTAAAAAAGTGGATTCTCGCCTCAAGTGATATATCCATGTCATGCAGGTCGTTGAGCCTATTTAATGAAGTTCAGAATGAGAATGAAATTTGAACCATAACCCTCTCCCCCCCCTCCCGTACACATCACACAATTATTATAGTTTTTAAACGTAGGGTCGTCATCTTACAATTTCAATCGTCTTTAGTACAATGGAAATAACCTTCAAAGCCATGTTGACGCCGGAATCTAAAGGTAGATAAAAAAACTTTATGAATAAAAATGTCCGAAATCTCAACAACGCGACCGAATTTATAGCCCACGTCGTAATGGACTCCTCCGGGTAAGTTGGGATAAAATTTCAGGTTTCAAACCTTCTTCAAAATTATGTGAATTATGGCTTTTTCCAGTTGAAATGTAAATTATGTCATTCAAAATGCGTAAATTATGTCATTCTATATGCGTATAAGTAAGAAAAGAGTGGAAAAACTTTCTTTCACGAGGAAAACGTATTAACAATAATAGTTATCTGACGTAGTAGTTCTTTAACATACCTGATATCTTAACTTTAATATTAAAGTCTGAGTTTTTAACTTTTTAATCTGTTGTTGCTTCTTGATCGTTTGAAGATCAATGTCAAAGAAACCACGTCATGGCATCGATTGTTGGATGTTTTGTTTTATACTTCACATTCTTTGACGGTATTTTTGCATATACTACCTGCTGTCACGTACAATTAACATCTTTCAAGTTCTGCATCGTTTTTTACTGTGACGCTATCACTTAGAAACTGACACGTTTTCATTATTTTCAGTCCTTACTCCTTATCATTCACTTCGTCTTTAATCATGCGAAAGTATTATAGGAAGAAGTGGAAATGTTATCGGAGAATGAAGCAAATTATCTGTCAGTCACATTTTTCTTACAGTTAATGGGGGTGTTAAGGCGGTTTTCCAGTCCTCGCACGAAACTCCTCGCAGCTCGCTGCGAGTGCTTGCTTCTAAGTAAAATGAACTGTTAGATAGATAGAAACTTTCTTTATACACGCTGACCCCGTCAACCGAAGCTGATTTCCACGGGGGGCGTGTGCAAAAATAGAAAAATGTTACATGGAGATATTAAAATACTTAAGTTTAAAAAGGTAGAATATTAAATTATTTATATGATAAGAAGGTTATTAGAATATTTACAGTTACATCAATTTACTCTATGTCAATTTTGTGAGCAGCGATTTTACAGTTCTAAAGGATGAAAGAGTCTTGCTTTCCCTAATTTCCTTTGGAATAGAATTCCAAAGGTGTACTCCGTCATACATGAACTATATTTCATGTTGTTAGTACGCGCTTTTGGTAAACTAAGACCGCTTGAAATGTCACGAAGGTTGTAGTTTGTTTTCTCACATTTGTAAACCATAGTTAATATGTGTAAACGTACCTTAAGTTATGTATCATGCATAATTTATACAATGGGATAATTACGCATTCATTTCACTCTGGCCCATGACTCTGGCCCGGCAAAGCAAGATAAACTTTTGCTAAATTCTCATTCGATTTTCATCAAAATTTTATCAATTTGTCCTTCTTCAGACTTTTCAAAATTTCAATACGAACATTTGTGGGACTAATGGGCATTGTCCAAGAATTCATTGCATGGACAATGAGTCCCACAAATGTTCGTATTAATAGATTGATATTTTATAAGTTAGCGTCACAGAATAAAGATCAGTAAGCCACTCAGCGATGCAAAGTGTCCTCTTTTTTTATGCAAAAATATGCAGTTTACTGGTCAGAAGGCGGAGCAGCCAGCCAGTACAGCGTGTTTATTGGCCAGAAAATGTCATTGCTGGCTAGGAAAATGGCGGCCAACACGCGTAATGCGACATGCGCGAGGACAGAAACTTCAAAGCTTTCGACGTAAGTGGCCCTTCTGTATAGACTTTTATTCTGTGTTATTGTGTGAGAGACAAAAGGGAGCTTTAAAAACAAGCGATGTTTTTGTCAACACGAACGTCATATTGCCGAGGGGGACGGGATTAAAAACTGTGTTTGCATCAGTTTGTGGTAATCTTCAACACATATGACAAAACATAAGAATTTTAAAGTTTTTTGCTTTGTTATATACGAGCGCTATGATGCGCGATAACCGGCCAGGGACGCCGGAACTGGGGGGGGGGCAGGAGGGGCAGTTGCCCCCGTTGCCCTTTACCAGAAGGGGTAAGGGGGCAAAGGTGCCCTTTCAATTTAAAGGATTGCCTTGGCGAAATAGCGTATTGTCAGAAATGTTAGTGCAATTTTTTTTATGAATTTCCTTCAGAAAACGCAAGAAATGCAGTCATTGAGCTTCAAGAATAGCACAATCGCCTGGCGGAGAACCCCCTCACACCCCAATCATCCAATAAATAGAAAACATGATTAGGCGAAGTTCAATTCCCGATGTTTTGCAAACATCTCTTAGTATATATCAATTCAAAAGTGCCCTTTCACGAAAATCTGCCCCCCCCCTTGCCTTCACATCGTTCCGGCGTCCCTGGCTATAACGCGCTGACCTGGTTTGCATGTAAGTGGTTAGTGGTTTCTAACTAGTGGTGCTGGTGGTGGTGGGGTCAAAACTGAACCTCACAAATAATTTCACAGTAGTGTAGTTATGTATATATTCTTGCATGTTTTATATAGTATAAAGGCCTGTAAAATCAGTGTTTACGTTGTCCAGTTTGTAGTCCGTAATATGTCGTGTTTTAGTGTTAGATGAGTGGATGGACTTAGTATGGGATTCTAGTTCTAGATCTGTTGTCCAATCCTTCAATCATAGCTGTATGTGTACTATTTTTTATATAATTGATGATTGTAAAGTTAATAAAAAAATGCCGCCAAAATTAGTTACCAATTTTCGGGTGACGCGCATGCGTGTTGACGTAAATGTCGCTTGCTTAAGTTGACTAAAGTGCTAAACACCAAATTTTTTAACCAAATTCCCGTCAATATTGAAATACGATTCCACAATCATGTTAAAAATGCTTGTCAGCAGTCGTTTATAATCACTATTTACTTTACTGGTTCGCATATATGCCTGCGACGTGCCTGCGACGTACCGGCGACGATGCCGGGTGGTAGCTTAAAACGTGAATTATGTGAATATTTGTTCGCTGATTGCCTCCAGTGCCACAGTTACATCGGCGGTAGGCTGGGAAAGTTTACTTGAGTTCAACTTTGCCGGTATTTCGGCGGCAAGTAGAGGCATAATGATACAGTCGCAGGGATACCGCAGGCATATGTGAACCAGGCTTTATGCAATTTTGTTTTTAAGGTTACAGGACACCCTTTTTGGCGTTTTGCGGAAAATCGCTACTGCGCACTCAAAATCAGTCCGATTTTCATCAAATTTTCACCAAATGTTAGCCAGTGCATGCAAAATATGGTAACGTTGTAAAATTGACAAACAATAAAATAATGTAAGAATTATTCAGGAAAATCTTAAATCGCGGTACCTTTACGCTGTTGAGTTGTGTTCCTGCTGGTTTTAAGATATATTTATGAAAATATCATTTTTATACAGTAAAATAGTTGTTCTAAAAAATATTGATCGGAAATTTCTGTTTATTTTTTCATTCCGCTGATATGGCGATTTCTTTGACGACTGCAATATATTTCTGAATCGTTTGAGTGAATTGCTCTTTATTATTAAAATATCCAAAATTAGAACAAAGCCGAACACAATTTTGCAACTGACATCTTTAGCTATGTGCTGTGAAAATTAGAGAAAAATTCGTTAAAACCCGCAGGCCTGAGAATAACCCGTTTGAAAATCAGTAATTGCCGTAAAATGTTTCAGGAGAAAATTGAATTTGAATATTACATTTTCAATGTTTTTCTTCATTGCAGCAAAATGAATATTATTAAATAACTCTGCGAAGTTTCAACATTTTTCGTTCAAACTTGGTCATATAGTAGAACTATGCTTTCATGGAAACCAATAAAAAAAGTTTAGGCAAAATTAACACTCAAAGGTGTTCTGTAACCTTAAAACGCCCCACGCACAGTCAAAGTGCATATGACATGAAATTTCTTATTTTCTTAAATGATTAAATAAAAGAACTCTTTAAGTTGTAGTTTAACTTATTTTTCAGTTTCTTGTTTTTATGGTTTGTTCCCAAGATATTTGAATTTGTTTGATATGTAAATGAGTGGGAATATATGTCCGCTAATTTATGACGTCATGTTGGTTGCAAGCTCTTCAAAATGGCTGAATATCACTGCTATTATCCAAGATGATAATTTCAAACTTCACTCACTGGTAAATGTGATGAAACACTGGAGAAAAACGTGAACTGATATCAACAGTTTTTAATACATTTATAACCGGTGTAAGTCGAGCTTGCAACCAACGTGACGTCATAAATTAGCCGACATATTCACACTCATTTACATATCAAACAAATTGAAATATATCGGGAACAAACCATAAAAACAAGAAACCAAAAAATAAGTTACTCGATCTACAACTTAAAGAGTTCTTTCATTTAAGAAAATAAGAAATTTCATGTCATATGCACTTTAACTATACGTGAACAGATTCGAGATTACACATCCTACGAAGCCTTCGGCTTCTTTTCTGACAGTTCATAACACAAACTTCTTCATACCGTGCTCAAAACTCATTCAATAATTGTTAAATGTTTGATATGCAAAAAGTATTATATAATACCTTATTGAATTCTGATCGTTTAATTGGCTGTTTATGGTCATGTGATATTGAATAGAAAATTCCATTTCCCAAGAGTGCAATGGAACACGTTCCATTGCACTCTCTGCGAGTGCAATGGAATAAAACGTATAGTACAATTGCACTCTTTGTGTTTTCGATAAATCGCATCCCTCAAAATGCTTCTCATACGAATCTATTAGTCTATTTTGGTATTATATAAAACAAATAATGAATGTTTTTCGTGCAATGGTAAGAATATTTTCATTCGGTGAAAGATGGAATGTTCCATTCAACTCGGCTGTCGCCTCGTTGAATGGAACATTCCATCTTTCACCTCATGAAAATATTCTCACCATTGCACTCATAAACATTCATTATTTGTATACTGGATAATGGTTTCTGAAAAACTTTTATAACGCTTATAGATATTGTTTGATAAATTTGGCGACATGTAACGTATTTTGTAGTATGTTCACATAACAAAAATATTACACCGTTCTATGATTTCGACAAGATCTTGAAGTGTTTTTTCAGAAAAGCATTGTGCAATGTGACGTCATTAGTGAGGATAATTTGCGTCATCAAAAATGATAAACTTTAGCGACATGTAACGTATTTTGTAGTATGTTGACATCTAACATAATTATTATACCGTTTTATGATTTCGACAAGATCATAAAGCTTTTCTTAGAAAGGCATTATGCAATGTGACGTCATTAGTGAGGATAATTTCCATCATGTCAAAAATTGTAAAATATCTCAAGAAAGATAGATTGGCAAGAAAAATAGTTTGGGCAAGGGGGGGGGGGGAGACGGAGTGGTGGCATGCATATTTTCGTAGTGGCTCAATTTTCCACGAGTTCATAAATTTTATCTCATTTTTTTCGGAAACGTTTTAGTAAAAATATTAACGTTTCTAACGTTATGTACAAATATTTCCCTTTTGATTCGTGATTTTGGAATGTAATGACAGTTTAATGATTTTTTACACATAACAAACATTTCCTAGCCTGCGTCGCATACTTCAAATTGAAGTATGCGACGCAGGCTAACATTTCTCCAAAATCAAAAAGGGCACATATGCGCCCTTCTCCCCCCGCCTTGGAAGGGGAAGCGATGTCCACTCTACCGTAATTGTTTCAATGCGTTTTCTTAATACTAGAGCTAAACATTAATCTCTATGCTATAGTCAATATACTAGTAGAAAGTGTCACAAATAAGTATACTACGTAAAACCCCGCGACTGCAAATTACTGATCACTGAGTGGAGAGAACTGTTTTTGTATAGACAATGGTGTCCACGAGAAACAGGATTGTCCCGATGAAACCAAATACCTAGAAAAGACAAAAAAACTAATCTGACAATGAGTTTGAAATAAAATCGAAATATCACCGCATTCGTGTTAATTTTCTTGACTTGTGGCATAGTCTGCCGGGAAACTAAACAAAGTCATCATTGACAATGTGTTATGTTTTTGTATGTTAATTTGTGCAAGGAATCGTAATATCTCCCTAGATTGTGTTTTCTTGACTTGTGGCATAGCTATCAAGATATGATGGTTTGGAAACTAAACAGAAGTGATGGTGTTATCTTTTTGTCTGAGCTGTTTATGTTAATTTTTTCATGGGCACGGTGATTGAGCTCATTCATTGTATTTTCGTATAATGAAGTAATCATCCAATAGTGAGATGCACAAAGGATTTGTGCATAGATTTTCAACATCAAATACACCCTTTTCATAAATGGCTGCCGATTAAAAATTCTATTATGAGCATATAAATTGGCCCAACTAGCCTCGTACTCATGTTAAGATTTCAAAGGAATTTCTACCCAGAAACGAGGCTAGTTGGGCCAATTTATATGCACATAAAAGAATTTTTAATCGGCAGCCATTTATGAAAAGGGTGTATAAAGGTATTTTATTTTGTAGATTTGAAGTTTGCCGGGCTTCCAAACGATCAGATTTTGACAGACTATGCTTGTAGATACCTCAAATCGTGAGAGCACAACTGGCATGCTACAGTTGTCGGTTGGAAACAAATGGGGATGCAGGTGTCCCAGCAGATTTGGACCCTCCTCAAAATGGACCCCCCAGTCCAAATCCGCTAGCGAATATGGAGTATGGACCGGGGAGTCCATATCCGCTAGTGAATATGGACCTATGGGGGGTCTTTATTCGCTATAGCGGATTTGGACTCCTCTCGCGAATTTGGACGCCTCGCGTATTTTATCATTGCAACGTATTGTATTTTGAATATTGTACTGAAAGCGTTTTAAATCGTCATAAATCTCATCTGATTTATTTTAAAAACCGTACGAAGACTTTTAGACCATCAAATCCCAAGATTAAATCCTAGATTTTTAGATTAAAGAATTCCGTCAAAGTTTATAATTTATAATTTTTCTGCTACATGGGCTTATTTTTATGATCTTGGAATGTGCGAGAACTGAGAAGCGCATGAAGCCTTCACAAGTACTTTACTCCTTGGAATTGCTATCTGCTGTGACTCTTAACTGCTCAAGTAAAAACGGAAAATAGTGATGCATTCCATTCAACCCTAAACTTTTATAAAATTAACATCTCAATACTTGTTTTCGTCATTAAGCAAATTCCAAGATAGTTGAGTCATGCCATCAGTTATCATCATTTAAATTAAATTGACGCCTAAATTTCCATGCACATTCAACTGCAAATCGTTTCAAAACTTCTTCTTTTTGTCAATTTTAGGGGGTCCAATACCGCGGAAGGGGGTACATATCAGCTAGCGGATATGTACCGTACGTAGGGGTCCGAATCTGCTAGCTGATATGGACCGGGGGGTCCATATCCGCGGGGAGTCCAAACCGCTGTGACACCGGCCCCGTTGCCCAAACAGTTCCGTTTGCCTTTTTACAAAATGCACGCTTCGTTATTGTTATATGCGGAATTGAAATTGAAAATTGTTTTCAAGTAATTTACCTCATATTTTTAAATCTGATGTTCTTCTTAAAACCGTTACCGAAGCCTTTTTAAATAATTGACAAGCTATCATGCTGTTTTGTACACAATGCATTTTATGCACGCCATGCAACAAATAAAATTGTTCTAATCAAGTATAAAATTTGTCCAACTTTATTGGCCACAAGTAATTGGAGATCCGCACAGCGAAATTTTAACAAACATTGCTGCCCACAAAATTTGAGGCTCAGGAGTATGTGCCCTTTTCAAATGGCTTCCCGCCGCTTCACGTTGCTTCTGGTACATGGTGTTCCTGGAAACAGATTCTATTTGAGTTAGCGTAATCGATTTTCTATTTCGCGCATATCTACAGAGCTTTAGTAAACTGGACGGTCTACTTTTGCCAGATATTAAGATGAAAAATTAATAGCAGCAACTCGGAACAGCGAAAATTCCATTTGCAACTAATTAATGTAACTTACCACTCCGGAGATTAGATGACTGCATGTGTGATCGTGATTCGCATCATCCAATAGGTCGCAGGTGGATGTACCAATGTATACTTTTTTCTCAGCTGAAGCCAGAACTTTAGCAAGCAGAGCTGTTGAAACCAGCAACTGCAGTGACCAAATTGCATGTACGATCGCCATCTAAAATAAAGGTATGATCAAAATTTTCGGATTAATGTTTTTCAGGCGTCACCGCGTGTCTCATCCGAGGTAAGGAAAGGGCCGAAGATCGGGTAAGGTGAGGCATGGCCAGTGATATATATATATATATATATATATATATATATATATATATATATATATATATATATATATATATATATATATATATATATATATATATATATATATATATATATATATATATATATATATATATATATATATATATACATATATACATATATAGATACATAGATATATAGATACATATAGATATATAGATACATAGATATATAAATATATAGATATATAGATATATAGATATATAGATATATAGATATATAGATATATAGATATATAGATATATAGATATATAGATATATAGGTATATAGATATATAGATATATAGGTATATAGATATATAGATGACGGCCAATAGCTTTAAAACAGTTTTAATACCAATTTTAAATTCCAAGCTAATTCCAGTCTTCTTGAACGGATCGTATCGCTAAAACTATATAGTATTACCCTTTTACTCAAAGTCAAGATGCGAAATTTCGGCACGCTCAGAAATTCGACAAAAACAATAGAAAGAGACTGAAACTGACATCCCGAATAGCTCTATATTTGGCTTCAGTTTTTGGGCTCGAGTCCTCACTCCGCATATATATATAGGAGCTCATTGGGCAAGGCAAGGTGAGGAAACATATATAAGGCAAGTGAAAGGAAACTAATGGAGGAAAAAGAAAAGATGGCTCAGAATATTAACAGCAACTTACAGCGAGTGTTCCGCCCTGTTTCTCCAGCAGTCCAGTAATTGATGCCACAAGCGAAAGAATTGCTATGATCACTCCAACAGAGGTGGTGTACAAGAAAAACTCGTATCTTCCATACGCACCGAAATCATAAGGATCTAATAATCTTTCTTTTACGAGATCGTGATCTTCTTTTACAAAGTGACCCACGGTACCAATTGCTACCACAAGTACAATCTGCAAAAGTAATGCTTTTTTTTGAAGACAGAGCCCTGGTCAAACGAGTCGCATGAGAGTTGATGAGAGTTGAGAAGCGAGAGTTTGCATGAGAGTTTTTTCCACTCATTCTCCGGTCAAACGAGAACAAGAGCTACATGAGAGTTGACGAGAGTTCACTGGATAGTCTGGATATTATCACGCGCGTAGCGATAACTCTTCATCAAATTAAAATTTGAACCAGTTCAAGATTGATGAGAGTGCACTGATCAACTCTCATCTTTGTTTGACCGAGGCTTGAGTCAGGGGCGGCGGAAAGTCGATAATTGGGGGGGCTGATATTCATATATTCATGTTCTGCATAATTTATTTCCTTTGAAAGCGATTGTTTTTACAGTCTCTGAACAGGAATATATGAATATCAGCCCCCCCCCAATTATCGACTTTCCGCCGCCCCTGGCTTGAGTCAGTGCCATGAAGAGAAGCATAGATTTCCAACATGATAGTTGCATAACCGAAGCAGTGGGGTAGTCCAAAAATTGTAGGGAGAGAAGGGGGGGGGGGGGGCTCCTAGGACGTTCTCGCATGGATTGCTTTTAAGGTGCTCCCTACTGGGTTTTTGGCAACAGCAAAAATTACGATTTAGGGCGGAATTACAATTTTTACTTGTTGAAAAGGAAATAGTATCTGAGCTATACAAAGTACTACCGGAGGAGTATGAATTTTTTTACCAAAATTGTCATCAATGTCGTCATTGCCAAACCATGACGTTTAAATATGGCCGATTTTCGTGGCATTACACTAATTTAAATCAAAAGAAAGGACGGTGACCCCCATTTTTATTTTATTAATCGTTTTCAATTAGTGAAAATATTATTCAACCAACTTTTGAAAAAATCACAAGCGTAGATTTTTAAAATTTAATAAAATTCTACAATGGCTTGGTTAATTAATCATTTTCAGTAATTGGAAAACGATTAACAAAACAAAAATGGGGGTCACCGTTGTTTTCCGAAGTTACTGAAATTAGCAAAAAATCGGCCATACTGAAACGTCATGGTTCACATAGCAACGACGAGACGTCATTTTTATTAAACATTTCATACTCTTCACGTTCTATTTTCCATAACTCCGATAATATTTGCTTTTCTACAAAAAACAATCGCTCAAAAGTTTCTCCATATACATTGTAAAATATCACCTTAAATCGGTGTCACTTACTTAACCTGGGAAAGATCGTTATGTAAACAATCTCGTTCCCCGAGCATGCCCGTTCGCAGGTTAAGGGTGGGCATAGCTCTGGAGAAATCGAATTGATTCAGGCCTGTGATTGGCTAACGGCAGAGAGTACGTTGGATTTCCAACGTGAGTTCTACGCATGCTTGGCGACTGTTGGAAAATATAAACAAAGTATTTGGAATTTCTCGTCGAAAATTTGCTACTTTTTTACACTGAAATCGATTGAAAACAACTAGAAATTCTGGAGGGAATATGTGCGAAAGCTTCGAATTGATAGGGATACAATTACCTGAAAATACAAGGAGAATTTCGTTTCGAGCGAAGGCGCTTCGACTTGTGCTGTTAATGTTTGTATATATAGTACTTGACCTTTTTTTTACTGTCGTACTTAACACTACGTATACCATAAATTCTGACAGGAGAGTTGAATGTAAATTTTGAAGCATAAAAATATATAATACTCATTGTTGAGGAGATTTATCAGTAAAGGTGAAGTACGATGTATATATTAAAACACTAACAGTACTACAAGTGACAAGTCGAAGCGCCTTCCCTCGAATCGTCGAAGTTCTCCTTGTATTTTTCAGGTAGTTGTATCCCTATCAATCCAAAGCTTTCGTACATATTTCCCCCAGAATTTTTAGTTGTTTTCAATTCGATTTCAGTGTAAAATGTATCAAATTTTCGACGCGAAATTCTAAATACTTTATTTATATTTTGCAACATTGCAGAGCATGCGTAGAACTCACGTTGGAAATTCAACGTGAATCAATTCGATTTTTCCAGAGCTATGCCCACCCTTAACCTGCGAACGGGCATGCTCGGGGAACGAGATTGTTATGTAAACTGATAAAGTACATAGTACACTAATTAATAGTGTGGTACGTTGATTTAATTTAATTTTTTTTAATTTAATTTTTCAAGGGGAAATCTTTTTGCAGATGGTGAGCACATTTTTAGTTTCCATAAGTGGATACATTGATTTTTTATGCTTAATGTTAAACTGTCACCAAGTTTACATGTTTAACGACGAAAACAGAAGTATTCTGTTTCTGGTCAACGCGCGCGTCATCTTTGACTATGCGCGTCACCAATGAAAACACCTGGACATTTAATATTATTCTATACTGAGTAGTTCACATTTTGTTCCATTAATTAAATATGTAAACTTGGTGACAGTTTAACATTATTAAGCATAAAAACACAATGTATGCACTTATAGAATTAACTTGAAATATGCTCACCATCTACAAAAATAGGTACGCAGTGCGTACATGTTGCATGCACTGATCTAATAGTAGACTGGATATAGCTTCTCTAGATGTGAAAAGTGAAGCCAAATTATATATGCGAAATTCACTTCCGGGGACCACGGAGTGAAACAAATTTGTATAGAAATATATGGCGGACAACATGCACGAACATGAATTTTCGAAAATTGAAGACACTTCGCGACTTTTTACTAACCTCATCGCAACACCATGGATAAAAGATGTTATGTAGATCAATTTAACATCGGAATGACCCAGATTGCTTGAAAATATCAGCGTTCATGTTCGTTTAAAAGATGTCCATGCGGGAATATATTTGGTCGCAACATTGGCATACAAGACAACTCCCAGTTTGCTTTCGAAATATAGAGGCAGTACATGACCTAAAATACTTTTGAATACTTTAGAACTATGGTAAGTATCTTTCTTTTATCGTTCTTTATGTTTTTTTATCCACGGTTAGAGAGAGTTTTGCGTTATATTTTACTACTGGTGTTCGAACAGGACAAGTTTACTTAGCTTCTTTCTCACTTTATTTTTAGTTGCCATTTCTGTCGTTGTTTTGCCAAGGTGATATAATCGCACCTTGCTGTAGTTTTTGGATATGCTCTTTATCAATGTAAAGGTATGGTTGTCATTGACAGTAGTAGCTAACATATGTGTGTCAAGATCTTTAAATGTGACTTTCATGTTCATACTATTCAATACAGACAGAGCTATGGCATCAGGAATTCCTTTCCCCTGTGGTAACCTACCATCTGTTGCTGCTAACATTCGTTGAAAACACCTTTCTGTTTCAGTGCATACTGCTATAACACTAACTGCCGGTTTGAACAAATTACCCCTGTCTTTTAAAGTCAGAAAAGCAGATTCACTTCTGTGTTGTCTTGAACCAACTGCTTCATGACCATCTGATTTGTTATATTTGAATCTGTACTGCTTTTTGCTTTGTAGGTGTCCCCAATCACTTCCAGTGTGTCCGTTTCATCTTGTTTGGTACAGTTTCCATTGCGGCCTTGGATACTGCTTCTCAGTAACAGTCTTTTGTATGCTGCAGTAAATTGCTCGGCTGTTGGATTGTTGTTAAACCCGCCCGAGGACCGGATTGCACCAAAGAAAAGCTCCAAGTGATCTTGGCTGAACTTGTATGTTAGAATATAGTTCATTGGTGCTTCTTTTTTTGTCATATCCTTTCCTTGAATCAACCAACTATGTTGTCTTTGTGTAACACAAGTGATGCAATTGGTTACTGCTGGGACACACTCGGGCCTGCACAAGCCCGTGAATACATTATCGGTCTGACAAATTCATCTGGTGATCTAATGTACACAACCCGTCGTAAAACTGGCTTTGTTGGGTTTCTTGTGGCAATTGATAGCATTAAGTCAATATTCTTGGAGTTGGTTCCAAGATTTAAAACGAACTGAAAAACCTCTGCTCAGTCTGAAGTATTCTTACTTTAAGAAGCATTTAAGTAATGTTAGCAGATTATCAGCCTTAACATTAATTCTGATTTCTGATACAAACTGTAGTCTGATAAATAAGTCTAGCATGAGAGACAAAAATAATTAAAAGCAATTTAAGGCTAGGGTGAATATATATATATACTTTATTAAAGCTGATAGGGAATATATATTTTGAAGCAAAAATGGTATTTCCTATTGCAGAAAAAGAGCTTTTATATGTTATTGTTTCTGAAAAAGGAAGAAGTAGTTAGTTGTTTGAGTTTAGTCTTTGAATCCAGGGTGGGGTTCAAGGTTGAATGTGGGCTTGATTAAAAATTAATATTTACACAAAAGCAACTTGAAATTGAACAACACAAACCTCTAATAACATGGGTTTTTTTATCCTCAGTGAAAAAAGCTTGTTGATTTTTTGGGGAAATAATGTTCGTAAAAAATAGCAGTGAGTAACACCAAAGTTACAATGACCTCCTTTCTTGAATAGCATAGACATATACTGGGAGTTGGAATGGACTATTAAATCCAGCATGCAGTTTCAACTCAGTATCACATCAGTAAAATTAGTTATATTTTAAAATTAGTTGAGATAAACTAAAAACACATAACAGATCGTTATGGAAACTTGACTTTCTGGCCCTTTCTTTAAAGTAAAATACATTTTGAGATCAGTGCGCACAAAGGTCAAAGGCCGGAAAGGCTCAAAGCGCGCGAATTTACAAAACTGGCGCTATTTTTCCACACACGTTTTCGTCTGTAATAAAGAATATTAAAAATTAAATATAAATTGAGATCACTGCAAGAAATGGGTAGGCTAGGTATGCAATGTTGTGCATTTGGGTGCAACAAGAGAAAGAAAAACAAGACTGCAGAATTAGATCAATTGCGTAGTGATAGTGAAGGCACATCTGACGACGAGACAGCAACAAAAAGGCATCATGCTCGGACGTTCCACAGGTATTCAACTATCAATTACAGTAAAATTCACTTGTTTTATATAAATTAAATTTGTAATTAGAGACAGTTTTCAAAAGTTTTGTGAAGTGTTCAGTTGAAAACGCGAAAAGTGGTGCTTTGTTGAGACTGTTGACGACATGCAGTATCTTCGATTGCCTTGATTCCCTATTCGAGTATTACAAAAAAATGAAAAAGGATTCTATTTATTTTTGATCACCAAGGTTTCCGGCCGACCCAAGCAGAAAGAAAATTTGGACAGCGAAAATACGAAGAAAAGATTGGATACCAAGCAGCAGCAGTCGAATTTGTTCAGACCATTTCCCTGAGAGTTGTTTCGATAGAACTGGGAAGATGACAAAACTTAAAGACGACGCTATTCCAACTCGGTTTAAAGGTTTTCCAAAACATATGCAGAAGGTAAATAACTCGCCTGCCCCTGCTTTCTGTTTTAAGCCTGGTTTTTATATGACATGGTCGCAACAGTCGTATTAAAAGATGTGGTCACGATCTTTCTCATCAGCCGAAATACAACATTTTAGAACTAAAAATACGCGGAGTGATTATAACTAGAAAATGCTTATGGTATAAACTGTTATAAACTGGCCGTTGAGAAAGATCGTGATTATATTTTTACGACGATTTATAATATTAATACGACCATATGGAAACAGTGTATGGAAACCAGGCTTTGCGATCTAAAACTATGCGCTAATTGATACAAATGTTAATAAGGGTTTTCTTGGACCTCGGGGTAAACCCGATCTCTAAAAATCGCTAAAATTCATTTATTTTAGCAAAAGTATGCAGGGCGTTTTGCGTAGTTTATCAATCAAGCGTTAAATAACGGTTCTTAAGATAAACTGTCTTACAGTATCTTGACAAATCAATAAAACATTCAATGTTAGTTTTTATCACTTTTATTAAGCAGATACATCATACAATATAATAAGCATGTCAACAGTTACTGAACAGTACAGAACTACAATTTATAGTCCTAAACAGGCAATGTTGATATTTTAGATACAAAAGCCACGTAAGACTTCAAATAAGATCTTACATGTAAACGAAATTGACGAGGAAAGTGTACCTACAACTGTTGCTGTGGATGACGAATGTGAGCCTCCCCCTGCAAAGAAAATAGCACTTGATAGGGAAGTGAATGAGTTATATACTCCAACAGAAGAGATTGATAAGATCAAGCAGGTTCACCACAAAAAGGTTGAAATCTTAAAGAAGAAACTGAAGCTGTCCCAACAAAAAGCACGACGTCTAAAGAAAAGAAATACATCCCTGAAGGGTATAGTAAAGCAGCTAAAGGAAAGGGACTTAATTTCTTCTGCATGTGAAGAGATGTTACAAAGAAATTTTTGTGCGGTACCTGTTGCATTATTTAAAAGAATGTCATCAAATTCTGGTAAAGGATGCAAATACTCACCAGAACTCAAGTCCTTTGCTCTGACACTTCAATTCTATTCAGCCAAAGCATATGACTTTGTGCGCAAGACATTTAACCTTGCACTGCCCCATCCTGTCCAGATCCGAAAGTGGTACACTAAAGTCCCTGCAGAACCAGGATTTACTGAACCATCATTCCAAGCACTATCACAAAGGGTAAAAAACAATGCAGAAAAGAAGGTTATATGCAGCCTGATGATTGATGAAATGGCAATAAAAAAGCATGTTTCCTGGGATGGAAAGAAATTTCGTGGCTATGTCGACCTTGGAAATGATGTAAAGGATGACGATTCAGCACCCATAGCAAAAGATGCTCTTGTCTTTATGGTTGTTGGTGTGAATGAAACGTGGAAAGTTCCTGTTGGATACTTCTTTGTTGATGGTCTGAGTGGAAAAGAACGAGCAAATTTAATTAAAGTCTGTATTAAGAAATTGCATGATGTTGGAATTGATATAATCTCCCTTATATGTGATGGGCCATCATGTCATTTTGCAATGTTACATGCACTTGGGGCTCAATTAAAACTCCCTAATATCAGGCCATATTTCCTACATCCTTTGGATAAAAACAAGAAAATATATGTTTTACTGGATGTATGTCACATGCTCAAGCTTATAAGGAACACCTTGGGGGACGGCGGCATATTATATGATAAAGATGGAAAGACAATTTCTTGGGCATACTTAACCGAGCTACAAAAATTGCAGGAGAAAGAGGGTTTGAGGCTAGGAAACAAGTTAAAGCTTTCACATATCCAGTGGTGGCAACAAAAAATGAAAGTCAATCTTGCAGCTCAAACATTTAGTGCCAGTGTTGCTGATGCAATCGATTACTGCAGGGACACACTGAAGCTTGAACAGTTCCAGGGTTCAGAAGCCACAGTGAAGTTTATTTGAACATTTGATCATTTATTTGACATACTTAATTCCCGTAATCCTTGTGCTAAGGGTTTCAAAGCTGCTCTTCGTAAAAGCAACAAACATAACTGGGACTCCTTTCTTGATGAAGCCCGTGAATACATTATCGGTCTGAAAAATTCATCTGGTGATCTAATGTACACAACCCGTCGTAAAACTGGCTTTGTTGGGTTTCTTGTGGCAATTGATAGCATTAAGTCAATATTATTTGAATTGGTTGACAAAAAAGAAGCACCAATGAACTATATTCTAACATACAAGTTCAGCCAAGATCACTTGGAGCTTTTCTTTGGTGCAATCCGGTCCTCGGGCGGGTTTAACAACAATCCAACAGCCGAGCAATTTACTGCAGCATACAAAAGACTGTTACTGAGAAGCAGTATCCAAGGCCGCAATGGAAACTGTACCAAACAAGATGAAACTGACATACTGGAAGTGATTGGGGACACCTACAAAGCAAAAAACAGTACAGATTCAAATATAACAATTAATGATGCTGCTATCATCCGGAAATATGACTTACAAGGGACAAACCAAAACCAAGATGATGACGATGATTATAGTGATGCACCCAGCTTTTCCACAGTTTCCGAATTTAAAATGGCTGCAATATCTTACATGGCTGGCTATGTTGCCCAGATGGTCCAAAAGAAAACTACTTGTTCTGTTTGTCATGAAGCAGTTGGTTCAAGACAACACAGAAGTGAATCTGCTTTTCTGACTTTAAAAGACAGGGGTAATTTGTTCAAACCGGCAGTTAGTGTTATAGCAGTATGCACTGAAACAGAAAGGTGTTTTCAACGAATGTTAGCAGCAACAGATGGTAGGTTACCACAGGGGAAAGGAATTCCTGATGCCATAGCTCTGTCTGTATTGAATAGTATGAACATGAAAGTCACATTTAAAGATCTTGACACACATATGTTAGCTACTACTGTCAATGACAACCATACCTTTACATTGATAAAGAGCATATCCAAAAACTACAGCAAGGTGCGATTATATCACCTTGGCAAAACAACGACAGAAATGGCAACTAAAAATAAAGTGAGAAAGAAGCTAAGTAAACTTGTCCTGTTCGAACACCAGTAGTAAAATATAACGCAAAACTCTCTCTAACCGTGGATAAAAAAACATAAAGAACGATAAAAGAAAGATACTTACCATAGTTCTAAAGTATTCAAAAGTATTTTAGGTCATGTACTGCCTCTATATTTCGAAAGCAAACTGGGAGTTGTCTTGTATGCCAATGTTGCGACCAAATATATTCCCGCATGGACATCTTTTAAACGAACATGAACGCTGATATTTTCAAGAAATCTGGGTCATTCCGATGTTAAATTGATCTACATAACATCTTTTATCCATGGTGTTGCGATGAGGTTAGTAAAAAGTCGCGAAGTGTCTTCAATTTTCGAAAATTCATGTTCGTGCATGTTGTCCGCCATATATTTCTATACAAATTTGTTTCACTCCGTGGTCCCCGGAAGTGAATTTCGCATATATAATTTGGCTTCACTTTTCACATCTAGAGTAGCCTGCGAGCAGGCTCTCTGGGGAAAGAGAGCCTGCAAGGATCCCTTTGATGATTCGGTGCATGCGTCCAATATTTGGACGCAGTGCTCTGATTGGTTGATAACTGATTCATATGAAGTGATTGACAAGCTTCCATAAACTTGCACTTCCCGTTTGTAAAACCGAGCAACGCAAAGCTTCGGAATTGCGGCAATGTAGAGATAAAAGTGTCATGTATTTTGATCCTGGTTGACTTTTTACTGTAAATTAATATAGTATTCATATAAAGACGAATACTAAAAGCTTGCATGCTTTATTGTGTCCTTGGCTTGTCTGACTCCTAAGCTAAGAATAATTCTTGAGAAAGACTGCACAAATTCGCAAACCGAAACCTAGGGACAAGGCATTATATCGCTTCTCTTTTATGAAACAATATTGGGAATTCTGATAATATTCAGTGCATATTGTGTGTATTAAGCTTGTTTTACAATGTTATACTGACTATTTAATATTTATAAGTATGCGGCGTTAAAATGTACAGTAATTTACTCGTCACTTTGTTTACAATAATTATCACATGCATGTTTACTGCAATTCCACTTTTTGTTGCAAAATTTGAACTATAAACATATTATTAAATTATGTCCAATGTCCATGGTATATCATATATGTCTATGTCTCACCAAAGCCATAAATTTCAGTAAGTTATATTATTACTATATATAGACTGTATACAGTGTATATTATATATTGCAGCACGAAGCAATTCCAAATAACTGAATTAGTTATAGCGGGTAATATACAACTTTAAACTTACTGTGCCTACAGGAGAAACACATGCAGATTGTAATAAAAAGTACAACTTGATATATTACTCTGTAAAACTTCGAGCCGTTTTAACTTTTTAGTATGCCACAGTGGCGGTCTGTATACGAAACTATGACGAATTTGAAACGAATCGGTTTATGTTTACAATATCGTAGTGTATTCCGGTCTGCGCTGATTGGTTGTTATTAATTGACCTGTGACATCATAATTGAAGGGCGGCACCACTGAGGGCGGCACGCAATCATCATAGGGATCCTTGCAGGCTCTCTTTCCCCAGAGAGCCTGCTCGCAGGCTACATCTAGAGAAGCTATATCCAGTCTACTATTAGATCAGTGGTTGCATGCCATCTGAAACTTATGATGCGCTATAGCCTATAGCGCTTATAACCTTTGGTACAACTGGCGTGGAATTTAAAATATTGATTCAATAAGTTTAATATCAATATATTTATTGAAAAATAGCTATTATGTCAAAATAAGAAAACTTAAGATTCTCACACGAATTAGCCTGCGGTGTAGACTCCAGCAGAAACACGCGAATAGGCAATGTTTTTATAAGCAACCGTTAATAGTTAGTTGCAAGCGACGGTAATAATAACACTAACAAGGTCAAGGTGGGTTAAGGTTTTATCGAAAGCGATTGACTGTTAGATTTCCTTCACAAATTTATAACTAATAACGTTATTTCCTTTAGATTAAGCTTTATTGTAACTTTTTAAAGGAAAAATTACTATAATAGATTGAAAATGATTATTATTTATCATTTTGACGTTTGAGTCACAGAATAGAAATTTGAGTGATTGAGATGAGCTGATGAGTTAATTTATACTATATCGAACGTCATGTTGAATGTCATGTTGAATCTTATGCGTACTTCACAATGGTTGCTATTTCATGTTATTTACAAAATGTGCTATTGTGCTGTAGTTTTGAAGCTTTGCACACAATATAATCAGTGCGAGCACAATGGCTCCGTTTCAGTTTGGGTATATAAAAATCGAGTATTTTGATAACGTTGGGCTTTGAGGCTTTCACGATATATAAATATATTAAACGCCTCATAATTGATAAATAATCAGTGCGAGCACAACGGCTGCAAAATCACAACAAATAACAAAATACAAGGTCAGTTAAAAACAGTAAAGCTTTACCTACCTTAATTTCTAAGGCGCTCAATTATGTAAATTTTCGGCGAATAATCAGTATTTCTTTGCGTTTCCTCGACGAAAACCCGCCATGAAAATGCTCGTCGGAAAAACTTGGTATTTGCCGTACACTCGTACTTTACGAATCTACCACGTGATTTACGACCGGTACGCACACGGCATATTGTAAACACTGGACTGGACTTTGGACTGGACTTTGGACTATGGACTTTGGATTTTCGATTTTGAAATTATATTATTTTTAAGATTTTCGTATAATTATATTAAAATCTAAACAGAGAACGAAAATTTACTGCTGAAAAGCGTGCTACACTGCATGCACATGCATGATATAATAATATACAAGGTAAAAAATATTCAGTATCAGTTATATAGGTATACCAGCAGTGCTATTTCATAGATATAGCCTGTAGGATAGCAGGATTATCCAATATTTTGGTATTTAATGTCTAAATTTTATATAATATTTGTATTTATAGTATGTATAGTACAGTTTATACTGCAGAACTTCTTCCAATTATAGAAACAATTGTGACGAAAGTATATCGGCAAATACAAAATATTGAGAAACTATAAACTATACAAGCGATCGAACTATAAACTATACAACTTTTTTTGCATGAAATATTGATAATTTTAGAATTTAGCGCGTTTTTCAGGCTTAAAATTTGAGTGACTGTTTTCAATGCAAAGAAGGCGTAATAATATAAATGTATACGTAAATAGAACGGGTACGGTATTACGAATGTAATTTTTTTATTCTGCAAAGATGATTCCGAAATGTTAAAGCTTTCGAAAAAACTATCGAATTTTTCCATGATGTTTACTGAGAAACATCACAGCTGCAACCCCCACCCCCAAACGAACATATGACGTTTCTCGTGGAAAAAATCGATATGTGAGGCTTCCCTTAAAACGTACATACACGGTAACGTTTTGTTAATGTTATTTATTCAGTTTGAAAGACATTCTTTAGCTATCCTTATCACTATGTAAGTGCTTCAGACTTCAGTTATTATTAATAAGTGTTAGTCAAGAGTGGACAGGAATATCAGTCGAACGGAAATTTACACACTTTTTAAGACCTACTCATTTGTGTGTGAGAAGGCAAAAATCTATGTCTAAGCTATGTGCTTCAGGTAGTCTAGCAACTATTTGCCACGTTTACTGTAATACTAGAATCCTTTTACGGCTGATAATTTCAGCAAAAATAAAACAAAAGTTATTCCGAATAAGGAGTGCATAATATTAACACACAATTTATTAAAACTGTATATTTCGAATCTAAATCAGATTCATCTTCAGCAGTGTTTTGCAAGATATGTCGTTATGGACATATGTCGTTAACGACATATCTTGCAAAACACTGCTGAAGATGAATCTGATTTAGATTCGAAATATACAGTTTTAATAAATTGTGTGTTAATATTATGCACTCCTTATTCGGAATAACTTTTGTTTTATTTTTACTGTAATACTACTCATTCGTATTTTATAAAGTATGATGACTATGAGAGTTTTCGTGTTCACTATGGCTGAAATCCGCTGAATACATTCATGAAAAGCTAAAACTGACACCGGACAAAATACATTGCAAACACAGCCTATTTATAGGCAGGCGCTATTAACGGGTGTAAACTATTATGCAAAGATGAACACTAATACCGGCATTTAGTATTTTTGCGCAAGTGAATAAATATATAACAAATCCTACAAGTTGTCAACTGTCAAGACAAATTCCCCGATTATCACGGCCTCGCCTTTGGCGAATAATTCAGTTAATTAAGAGATACATAATACAGTCAATAGGCGCAATAATAATCGCGTGTAGTTTTATATACGTATAGTTTCTCAATATTTTGTATTTGCCAAGATACTTTTGTCACATTGTTTCTATAAATCTATTATCTATATGATAAAGAAGAAGTTCTGCAGTATAAACTGTACTATACATACTAGGCTATACATACTATAAATACAAATATTATAATAAAATTTAAATATTAAATCAAACTTGAATATTACTGAGATAATCCTGTTATCCTACAGGCTATAGTATATCTATGAAGTTGCACTGGTATACCTATATAACTGATAGTATTTTTTACCTTGAATATTATATCATGCATATGTATGCAGTATAGCACGCTTTTCAGCAGCAAATTTTCGTTCTCGGTTTAGATTTTAATATAATTATACGAAAATCTTAAAAATAATATAATTTCAAAATCGAAAGTCCAAAGTCCAAAGTCCATAGTCCAAAGTCCAGTCCAGTGTTTACGATCGTGACTAAAACACCACACGAGTACATACG